AAATCCGGGGTGCATATTGTTAAGGAATTCCACAGACGTCAATCATGTTCAACAAGCTCTTCTATAGCTCTTAAAAACAGTATCCTAATAAAATGGGCTCAATGGGAATTCTCTTAATTCATGAGAATTAATTCAATCTCACATGAACATGGCGTCACATTGTAATAAAGATCGCTTATCGCGGACGCCGCGAAGATGTCCGAGAGGCCGTTACACATAAATCTGATATCCAGGGTCCAGACTCCCCTGGCCAGGATCTGGAGGTCGATATGAGGGGAACGGCGCTTTTACTGAGGCATAGAATATGGTCTAGACAAGCCTCATCTGATCATGATGAGGAGCTTCGGCTTCTTCTAGACTACCATCCTCTGCCAAAGTTCGAGGTCAATGTAACTGAATGGCTGGTCCAATAAACAGCGTTACCATCTTTCTCGATCGGTGTGCGGTGTGTTTTTCACCGAGTCATAACCTCACCAGCGTAGCTTTAGTGACATTCATCAGTGAGACGCTGCACTGGGATGGCTTGAAAGGTTCATTGCTGGGTGGTAGGCCTTGATAGAAAGTGGAGACCACAATTACCTGCGCGGACTCAGTGAATCTATTGTTTCTAGGTACCTATAAGTTAATGATACAAAGGCGGCCCGGGTCAGGCAGAGTACGATTGAGCATCCGTCAACTGAAAACACCCAGAATCCTTCGATTGAGGTCCGAGGCCACAGCCCTTGACATGTAGTGTGCCAACTCCCAAGCCTGGCTCTTTGCAGTTGGTCACACTTACGAAACGCTATGCAGCCGCAACTGACACTTACACAAGAGCCGACATCCTATTGGCTTCGCATCATGCGACAATGGCGGGGAAGCTGAAGCTGTGCAAATTACCCCTCCCCAAACAAGGATGACGGCTGATACCGTAGGACTGTTGCATGACTCTCTAACACCATCATCTTCGTTTGGAACCAACAGTGTGATAACTGATCCATGTTTGCATGAGGTGAAAGAGTCAAAGAGACAACCAACACCTTCTTCGTACCGTGGGGGCAAGGGAAGGACGATTTTGGAAATTGCCAGTGGGGGATTGTAATGTGACAGGGTTGGTGATGGAGACATATATCGCGTTTGAGGTGTTACGATGGATAAGCAGTCGCCTTTCGCAGTCATCAGGGCATTGCAATAATCAACGCATATATGAGTTAAGACACCTTATTAGCACTGATGAAACTGCGAGGAATTTGTCTGGAATAAACAATCCCAATGAACCACCCCCCGAAGCAGCATAATATTGTCACATGGTCTGCTCTTACCAGCTTGCATAGATCCAAGCTGAAGCACTGTTGAATTCTTTTGAATGTAGACATTATCGATCTTGTATCATAACCAAATCCGCCAGGGTTTCATATGTGAGAGGAATAAGAAGTGCCATTAATAAGATGGAGTCAACTTGTGCAGTTAGCATCCTTCACCAGATGACATCCCAAACCATTCCATCCTGGAATCCAAGATATCCTTGGCATCATTCAAGAGGCTTGAGTACCTTGCAAAGCACCAGGTTTAGCATGAGAAAAGATGAAACGCGTATAATGTTTATTGGTCCACAAGTTGTCTTTTTTTTTTTTGCAAGACACAATTCTATGGTCAGGCCATATCTTCTTTCTCCACACCATTCAACCCATTTGCAGTGACATACTCAAGTGACTGAGTGCCATGGCTAGAAAGTGCCTCGTCGGCCATCAATTCGGCCAGGCGGGTTTGGGTATTCGTTCTTGTTTCCATCGACTCCAAGTCCAGGTTCCATTACAAGGCTGTTCATTTCGAGAGGTTTTGGATTAATGAGACGTTGTCTCCCTTCAACATGATTTGACCTGGGTGGTGTTAGTTGGCTTCAAAATTGGCGGACTTAAGGGACGTACCAAGAGATCTCCTGGTCTCCTTCTCGTTAGTCTTGGTGACCTGCTTGACCTCTACGGCTTCATCGATGACTAGGTTCATGAACTCGTCGAAACCCTATCGATTGTCAGTAGTCATTCTTCAGCACAATTCGACATCGACTGACTCGGATCTTGCCCTCAATACGGATGGAGAGCTGCTCGTACAACCAGATGCTGACTGTGGCGTGCTGCGACTGTTAGCAAAGTCCAAAGATCTTTCCCACTTCTTTCAGCTCGCCGTCGCGGACCTCGAAACACAAAATTATCCCGATCCTCGGTTCCTTGTGGGCAAATGGGGTGCTATTGTTGTCTCGAGTCTGTCCACGAGGGTTCGAGACTGTCGCGCCCGACAGCCAACCCGATTCAACCACAGCTGTCCCAAGACAAAATGAAGCAACAACCACCACGTAGAAACGTTAAGAAGTTTAGCTTTTGCGATATCGACATCGTCGGGCGTAGAATCGGTGCAATTTGTGTTTTCGAGGTCCACCCAGCGGTCAAGCTAAAAGCGATCGGTAGCACGCGTAGAGAAAAGACTTACTTCTCGGAGAAGCTCGAAGATATACTTGCTGTAGAGCAGTTAGATCAATGCTTCAAAGAGCCAGGAACCATGCGATCGCGTCGCAGAGAGGAGCTTGAGGCTTACATGGGAGGCAGCATAAGACGGCGACCACCGCCACCACCACGACCAGTCATTTTGTGAGGGGTAGCGCAAAGTATCGAGGAACTGGTTAAGGGTGCTCTTGCGCCGAGATTCGAGGTTGGAGTCGGAGGTAGAGAGGTTTGATTGTTTGATCACCGCGATTCTGCTGTCGCAAGATCGAAGTGGAAGCTCTAAACACCAACCCAAAATCTCGGCGGATGTGGGGTAATATTTATCCGTGATATCACTGAGGCTCCCGGGTAGGCCAACATTCTGAGAGATTCGCTGTCTGACCATGCCACGAGTCTACTGAGTATAATGGATCACTTATTTTCTGGAAATTACTATTGTCCTATATGTGTTGAGAATACTAAAACTTATATTTCTAGTTTGTGTTTTGTCAGTCTGAATAGGTAGGCATTGGCTCTTTATTCATGGTACATTGGTATTGCCTCCTACTGAAATCATAAAACACACCGATGACCAAGGGAGTGGGAATAAACTACAAGAGATACTATTAACACATTCAACTGAACTCTTAAAACTATTACATTTAGTTCTGTATGTAACTATCAGTTCTGCGCGGTGAAAAGAACTTGCAATTGATCACGACGTACACAGGGAGTTAGATCTTGAGAACTCAGTAAGGGATAAACGATTGAAGTATTATTTCACAAGAAATAACTGGAACAATATTGTATCTGGTGGCCATTATAAAGATGATATGGTTACCAGCTACTCATTTACCTAACCCTTGACTTAGGTATATACCATCCATCCATGGATGGAGAAAGGGAGGCAAGAAGTCGGTCACTTAGGTTAGGCAATGACGGGCTATTCTGGTCTATAACACCTGCCAACATATACGGTGTCCACGTCGCACCTCTTGAAGATTGTAGTGCATACAGATTGAGTATGGGGTGAGTAAGAGCGATGCCTCAGCGTCGACGGGTAAGTATCCAGCTTCTGCTGGCCCAATCTCAACCTACAAACCAACAACAGCACATTCGATACCAAAATTCTCATCATCATCTCTGTCATTCTTTCAAATCCCGCTATATACTTTCGCCACTCACTATATAGTATCCAATAGCCAATCATGAACTTCCACTTTGCAAAGCCCGGAGAGAAACAGAGTCAATCTCCCTTCTTTCGACTCCCACGCGAACTACACGCTGAAATCATCACCCTCTGTGTCCCAACATCTTGGCAAAGATTTCGCAAGCACCACCTAGACGAACACAAAAAGCCTCTGTGGCCCATCGAAGCCGAACGGCGCCTGCCAGCCTTGTTCAGCACGTGTCAGGAAATGTTAGCAAGGTCACCGTACGATGTCTCGACCCAAGCATAGCTTGCGTGGGCTGCCCCTATACCTCCATATATCTCCTACCATGGAGCATATATTATGGCTCCATTCATAAAATCTGTTGGGCCCTGGGAAGCTCTAGCTTCTGGTCGTGTACAAAAGAAGATCTCCAGAAAGCATTGGCGGAAAAAAGTCCAGCTAGTCATATTGAAACCCCAAGTCCTAGAAGCCCTTATACAGTTGATCACGGATCTTAACAGGAAAGGAGATTCATAAGGCAAGACGAACGGGAGACAGGAGACATGATTAGGCATGACAGCGTGTGGTTACAAAAGCGATTCTATTAGTAAAGCTCTGCGAATCTACACATTCAATGAATTCGAATACGAAGCTTTCAGCAACAGGTGGAGCAGACAAGTCAGGCTATGTGGGAATGCGATTACTATCAAGGGTGAAGTTGAGACTCTTCCTAATAGATACGATGACTACTAGAACCTGTGAGGCAGGTCGCCACGAACTAACCTCTAGGTATCATAAAAGAAGAGATGAGGATGCTATGATGCCCTTGCCTACAACGATCTACTCATCGTCGTTCGGTAATGCGAGTATTACCTTATTTCACAAATAATCTTGATAAATATGAGGAGCAGTAAGAAATTAGGATTGATAAATGTAATCCACAGAGAGGCAGGCCAGTTATGAAATAGCTCAGTATGGCTCTCCATTTTCTCTACTTATGGTAAACGAGCTACCTGCTCGAGGCAATGTGGTCATCTTGGAAGGTTTATTTGAGGGAATCAAAAGGGACCCTCGAACCTGTAAGCAAATATCAAGCAAATATATATCTTCTGTAGGGAAACCAAGTATCGTAATAGATTCTGGCGCCATTAACTCATATTTCATCGCGGACTAATGATGGAAAGAACATCATGAAGAGAACCCGACACTACTAATCAGCCAAAGGTGTATAGAACGAGTAGGTATATGTAATATCAGAAACTATGTAACTCTATAAGAGAATTGTAGTAAAGTAGCCAACATAGCTCATGCCCAGCATGAGTCCCGTCATTCGTAAGATATCTCATACGCCTATCCGACGCTGGAAGTTCAACATGACATGTCATGTCTATACGACAACAAGCATGTACCCAATAAATAAAGCCAGAGCGAGCCCAAGCCCAGGTCTTGTACTGAAAGCACCGCCCTCCTCTTTTGAAACCTCTTCCTTGAACTGGCCCTCGACATTACCCCTGGGCCAGTACTCACAAACGAGAAACCAGCCTCGTTCGCCGCAGAGCTTTCTTCCGCATCCAACAGTCGTGGTATCTTTCCACACAAGCTGCGTGAAGTGTCCAGTCTTCTTGCTGAACTTGGCCTTGTCGAAATTGTACTCATCTCGCTCATCACCCCAAGCTTCGATGCTCGCAGTAACATTGGGATAACCTATAGCCAGGTTCTCGCCATAGGGTCCACCAGAGTGCTCAAAGTCGCAGTCATCATTGTCATCGAGGTAGTCTGTTGCGAACTCCTCGAGTGTTTTGTTCCATTTCAGTGCTGTTGCGTTGTGTTCCTCGCGATAGAAGTTGGTGCTGTTGAGGACGGCTGATGTGAAGGATTTGCCTTCCTTGTATTCAGGCTCATTGGAGGGGATGGATACTGGAGCTGTGATTGTGACATCGGCAGCGAGACTTGAGCCGACTAGGAGGGCGGTAAGAGGAAACAATAGGTTCTTCATAGTTGTGGGACGTGAGCTGGTGGTACAGTATGGGTCGTGTAAGTGGTGGCACAAGAACAAGTAGCCCGCTGCCTTGAAGCTATTTAGACACGAGGCAAAATCAAGTAAACGATACGAGTCACAAGTGTCGTTCTAGAAAGTCTAATCACAAAGAAACCAAAGGATGATTGAAGATTTAACTCTATTCTTTGTCCCTCTCAGCCTGATTTACCATCATCTTGGCCTTGGAACAGGCCTATGACGTATGCCTTTTACCGCCAATAGCTGTGCAGCACATGGCTCAGCTGACTCTAATCTTGGTTGATGACGAGGGACAAGGCTGGGCAATTGCTGGCCATGAGTAAGATATAAACTGAAGCTATTCAGTAGCAGTATATAGAGATGTAGACGATGTGAAACTTTTAGTGGAGGTTCAACCGTCAGTCTTTAACAGCCATAGCTTATGCAAGACCTCGATTGACTTGAGACGGTGTCGAACTGGAGGGGTGGCCGTTTCTCGATCCCCCACCATCAGCGTAAACTAGCTACTGGATATAGCTTGAGAAGGACGGCAATTGGCGCTTAACCAGACAATTATTGACTGATTGACTGACCTGATCTGTTCATCTCAACATTTACGGTCATGTCTACCTCTTGTCGTCAATTGATCACAGTGCTTACTCGAACCCCCACGCTATTACTACTCAAAATCCGCGGTCGTTGACGTGCATAGCCGATTCCTTAAGAGCATCACAGCAACCGATCCAAGGCATGACAGGCTCCCATCCGATAATAGGCATAGGCAATAGAGAGTGTGACTCACCGGATGATTAGTCCGAGAGAGGTTCGGCTGAATCTACCGTGCCATACCGTACCGTACCGTATGTACAGTACAGTACAGTATCGTATCGTATCGCATGCGCATTATACCTACCTTACCATACCGAGTAGCGAGTATACAACCTAATTCTGTTGCCTTGACTGTCCTCTCTTGTCTTGACCAGTCCCACTCCTGCGCGTACTCGTCGACTAATAACGCACTCGTGCGGATTCTAGTGGTCCCTTCTCATCACAGCCGAGTTCTAGATCCCACCGTGAAAGTGGGCTATCGAAACGGTAGCAAGAATAGAGCCTGGTTCTCAAACGTGTATGGCCGATGACCGGTCATGATTGAGCGATTAATTCTACAACGAGTCTCTGTGTAACCACCGACGAGTTCGTGAATGGCTGAGAATAGTTCATTGAAACATGAGCTCCAGTCTAAGCATAAACGCCTGTTGCTCTCTCTCAAGAGGCAAATAGACACAAGTGCCGGTCCTCTTCCCGTGTGTAGACAACCAATCCATTGCAACCCCCAACATCGTCACGTACATACATACGTCAAGTCGCATCGCAGATCATCGTTAACAGAAATTATTAAGCAACCAAAACAAGAAACTAGCATCAAAGGCAAAAGCGAAAAAGCTCCGACCGATGCTGCGGCAATTGTGAGATGTTCCCGCTAAACCGCTAATGTAATTGTTTGTTCAACCGTCATGCCACTATGCCACCCAAAAAGACATAGCGATATCCACCCCCAAAGGGAGCAGTAGGAAAAAAAGGTATTAAACAAGACGTGATTCGTTCAGAGTTGTTCAGGACCCTGCTGATCATATCGACGTAGGCCGTAGATCTCTACGAGCCAAAGGGCTTTGTCCGAGTTTGGGCATTCGCACGCTTGGAACCAAGTTTTTTCTTACTGCTTTTCTTGTTCTTGTAGTTAGTCAACTTCCTGCTGAGCGCCACTATCGCCACTGAAGTGAACAAACAGCCAACAATCAGTTGATGTGATGATGACCTGCAGAACGAGCAGTGGGATCAGTTCAACGAGAGAGGAATGCATAGCCGCTTCCTGGGATATACCGGTGGGCAAGCCAAGTTAGTATGTATGTATACTGCTTGCTGGCTGTAATATTACGTACAGTACGCAGGCAGATGAAACATAACATTATGTATGTTGCATTGTCGAATGTGATGAGATTCTCGCTGCATGATTGTCTTCCCGGGCCGAAGATTAACCATGCAATTTCAGATGCTGAGGTATCATTGGATTACATCTTTGGCCACATGGTTGAGGTGGTCTTCGGCCCACGATACCCTCCAACCGCCGATTCTAACCACTCACTCTACGGAACCTTTCCGCTGGCGGGCCCAACCCCAGACTTGGCTGATTTGTCTGTGCTGAGCTAGCAGACGAGCCGTACTATGGTTAAACTATTCGCGATAGATCCAAAAGGGATCTTGACTTCTCTCACATATGAATATCGACCGCGGCGCAAAGGTCAAGATACCCCTTGAATTGCAGGGTCATCGAGTCTGTACTGTAAAAATAACTCACAGGGACTTGAACTGGATCACCATCCAACTTCCTGGTCAGGAAAACGCCACAGGCCCGCCGTTCGTGGGCAAACTCAAAATATCTCATGTGTGTGGCAGCCCCTGCGTCTTCCCGAGGTCCTTGTACGGACGGATGTACAGCTCCAAACAAGTTCTTGAATGGTGCTTCGATTCCATGACTTGGGAGGACTCCCATGATGCAGCTAAACTGAATCAGACTATGCCTCGCTCCATCCAATCTGACAATCTTTGCGACTCGGTCGTTGGCTCTGCCCTTCAAAAGGCACTACCTATTACCATTCAAATGTTTTTAGCTTACCGACCCCATGGCACTCATTAGTCTCAGTGTTTAGCGTAGACACTGTCTGTGACCTTCTCTAAACCAGTTCAAGGCATTCCTCGCCACAAGGAAGAATCAAGTCAGCTTCTGGATCTCTAGAATGTTAACATCAAAGCTTCGCCTATATTCTTCGGACAAGTACGGGGCCATCGGTATCCACCGGTATCCTCAGATCGCCAACGAAGCGCCTTCTTACAACGCAAGTTGTTCTGCTTTTCGATTAGCTACGAGGCTAGCTCAGTGTGGCTCCGGGGACCTCCTGAGCCTCAATTCCGGCAATAACAAGCAGATGGGATTATCCGTCAGCTCTGATTAATAGCTGCCAACTAACTTGACTTGCACGAGAGCCAACGTACAGTACAGTAGCACGCACTCCAATTAGTTGGTGATCCGACCGGGACCCTCGCAGCACCGAGACTTCAAGTCTAGTCGCCAATGAAGAGGTTGCATGCGTAACCTTTAGAGCTTATGGTTCGTGGCCTCGAATCTTAGTCGCTCTTCCAGGGACAGGCAAAGGACGTCACAGTCTCGAGAGCACCGCAGCATCCGAGGACGCGTCAAGGCGGGCGTTGGCGAGCGCCGAGAGAGGTGCTGCTTGTTAGCTTCACTTGTTTTTGCAAGATCAGCCATTTGATCTCGGGTTCCTCATCTCATCTATCCGTAATCTCATTTCATTTCCAGCTCTTGCCATGCCTGACGCCGCCGCAAACAGCAAAATCTGGGGAAGTCAGGGATGGGATGCTGGAAGATGGTGTGTGCGCCGTCAACTACAAGGGGCCCTGCCAACTAACGCAACGTCCGGGGGCCGGCCCCAGATTCTTTCTCCTTCTCCATGATCCATCCGTCCAACCATCCAATATGTGCAGTATCCATCAATGGAGAGAGCCTGGGGGGGGGGGATCCGGGCTTGGCTCCGCTAAACAGAATTTGGGGTAACTAGAGAGCACGGTGACTAGGGCAAGAGAGTAGAGACCACCAGTGAGTACTGTGCGAAATTGCAGAGCTGAAATCTCAGATGACTTGGCCCAATAGGCGATGTCTTGGTTCTAATGGCTCAATTGTCCGACTGGCGAGTACGGAAAAAGTTGAACAAAGTGGCGTGCAGGGGTTGGGTTGGAACTTGGAGCTAGACCAAGACTCAGGGCGTTCAAGGGAGGTTAAAAACGTGGAAGAATTGGTCAATGTGCCTAATATTGGGTAGCCCGAGGCTTCGTTGGTCAATCCCAGAAGCTGGTCTCACACATAAGCGCGTGGTGTGGCAGACCTTTTTCGTTGTCAAATTTTTCGATTCCATCTTTGAAGCAAGATGATGAAATTGTCTCTTGTCTCTCAGAGAAATGATATCGATCTCGACGCAAAGCGTCAGAACACGGCTCAGCCGTCACAATAGCCGCATTCCTTGGCTGTTTGGCACTTTGGAATAGCGTCATGGTGATTCAATCTGGCCCATTCTTGTACCTTAAACCACCGACATCGCTCATTTGGACTCGAGACCTCAAAATGACAAGCACCCAATCCCAATCCCAATCCCGAATGGGTTGCAGACTGTGGGCCACGGCTGCACCTGACCTCCTTAACCCTTGGATCGAATGGAGATATGCCTCTTTCTGGAGTTAGGATTCTGGGGTTGTAGGATTCCTCGATCAAGGCCTTTCCTGTGCGGTCTTGTCTGTCTGTGTCTGGCTCGTTTATGCTGTATGGTGACGACAAGAGAAAGTGAACCACTGCGTGCTCAGTCCCTTCTTCAAATCGTTAGGGCTGATTCAGATTCTAAATCCTGTTTCAATCAAGAAAAAGTCCCCGACCATCATGGATTGGAGACCCTTTGGAGAGGGAGACTGAGCTACTAACTTGGGACTAAATACTCCAAGCCCAGCAATGGGGTATCATTCCTCACTGGTTCAATGCTGCGTTGCTGATACCTACTAGATCCTCGATAGCTCTTGACATACGTACGTGTTGGTTCCAATGCTGCAGAGGGTTACAATTTGCAGTACCCAGCTCTCATTTGCCAAGTAGTTACTGTATGTATGTTCTTGGCTCGATAGTGGACCATATCTGCATCTGTAATACATTGACATTTCTTCCGATTAGCCCGATTCCACTTCAAGATGCTAGCTGGGACGCCGCGTCGGCGGGAAGAAACCCTCGAGATATTAAAGAAGAGTAGTTGCATCGTCAATAAAGGCTCTGTAGCAGCAGATGTGGGACCTTGGACGGAGACTCAGCAGCGGACTCGAGTCCAGGGCACCAGCACCACATATTTGATGCTGGATTCTGCATTCTGCATTCGTGCAGCCTGGGG